TCAAAATATCCCTGGTAAAATTTCCTCAAAATGATGGAGAGAGTGGAATACCTGTGTTCTAGGAAGCTAGATCTGAGACAAATAAACAATTACCCCAACAAACAAGGAGAAAAGAGGGCCACTTTTTAACTTGCCACTCTGAGAAGTCTCACTTCTGCAACGTACATTCTTTTCCTCCAGGCTGGTTCCTGAGCCGCGCCAGTCCAAATGAACTCGCAGGACACTATATTAATTGTGGAGTTGTTGGCCGTTTGTTACAGTTTCTTAACTCTGACTTAATTATTAACCCATAATTACTAATATTACTAATATATATCATTAAATAAGACCATATATATATGGTCTTAATGAGAATGCCAGACTTGCGCCCTCTCCACCCAGGACCACATGGCGACTCCACTCCACTATTGATTGCATTTCCCAGAATCCTCCTCAACTCCTAGTCCCACCTATGTTGCTTCCCTATTGGCCAACAGAACTTTATTTATCAACCAATAGGACAACATATACACAGAAGGACTTCCCTCATCACATTACAGTACATAAATTCTTGTGTGGTATAGACAAGTCTCTGCCCAAATGTTCTTCATAATATAAAGATTAGCCTTTATTAAATAAGTCTGGTATGCCTTGTTTTGTGGCTTCCTCAAATGGTTATGGGGTAGTTAAATAACGTAAACATCCACAGAGTGTTTTCATAATATTTTTCCCGACTTCTTCATTTCTGAGCACACAGAAACACAGTGAGGTTTGCTATAGAGCTAATTTAAGACCAAGTTTGCCTAGGACTTCTAACAACAGCTTAATTTCTAGGTCACAGAAGCCACTCTCTGGCTTAAAAGACCACTTGAAGGACTTACAGAATTCACTAGAGCTGTGGTTACTGTTTATTATAAGGAAAACCTCATTAAAATGAGCCTAGAGGAGGAAACACATAGGCAAGCATCCAGAACAGTTCTTAGTGGAAATCTAGTCCAGTTATTCTTAGAATGTCTCGTTTTCTCAGGCCCCCCCAAAAAACGAATGACAATGTGAACTGATCATTCGGAACCCAAGGAGACTCACTCATGCTTAAATTATGTTTCTGAGGACTTCACAATGTGTTGGTGATTGATAGGCTCACTGAACTCAGTCCTTAGTTTCCCACATTCCGGGGTCTAGCTGACGTCATGTGGCTCAACAGGCTATCATAAATTACGTCTTTAGTGATAATATCGGATGTGCTCCAGGGAGTCCATGAATAGCTAGGTCCTCCTATCACTCGAGGAAGGAAGATGGCTCAGTGGCTCAGTACTTGTCACCAAGCCTGACAACATAAGTTCATTTACAGGAAGTCACATGGCAGAAGGGAAGAGCCGACTCCTACACTGTGGAATGTACATACACAGATGCGTGCATAGACTCAATATGTAAATAAGTAAATTTTAGAAGGAAAAGAAAAAAGGAACGCAAAAAAATTTAAAAGTCATCTGTAACTTACATTCTTCCCGCCAGCCTGGTCCCAGAGCTGCATCAGTCCCAAATGAACATGCAGGACGCTATATTAATTATGAAGCTGTTGGGTGTTTGCTATGGTTTCCTAATGGCTAGCCCTGACTTAACTACTAACCCATAATTACTCTCCGAGGACACCATCCTGATATGTCCTCTCCTCCAGGGACCACATGACGACTTTCCACTCTTGACTACATTTCCCAGAATCCTCCTCGACTCCCAGTCCCACCTATCTTGCTTTCCTATTGGCCAACAGTGCTTTATTTTTCAAACAATCAGACAAACATATACACAGAAGGACATCCCCCCCATCAGTTATTTCTCAGCAGTGAGAGACATAGTGCAAACCTTTTCTTAGGCCAGAGCAATTTTATTTTCCTACAAAACCCACTTTCTGGCCTTTGTCGAAGGCTCTCTTACAACAACGCAATGATATTTGGCTGAGCATCTATCCACATACAGTAAAGTGTTCTTATTACTCCTCAGGAATGCCCTTATAAATATACAACTCATTTGGGGCAGCAGATGCAACGTGGGGCTAATTGCAAACAAAGCAACAAGTCTTTCCAGCAGTGTCACTGCACAGACACAATTTTTGTGTTTCCTTTTGCTCTTATTCACACATTCAGAAGTATGATAAACGACTAGGTAGTGACTGTCCAGATTCTTTTCTTCTGTAGACTATTGTTTTGCTATTTGTACAGCAGTACATCACGCAGAGGTTTAATTTGGTGCTCATCAGTACCAGCGCTTGAGACACAAACTGTCACTGTTACATCATATTGTCATGTGCAAGGAGATGCAGCCTGGAAAACAATGCAAAAGACCCTGTGGTGGTTAACTGCTAAGTCCCACGGTCCCCTCCGCCACTGATAATTAAGCCAGGCCATCGGCATGCTACATGAAAGACATTACTCCCCAGTAATGCCAAGCAAGTTTCCAAACCATGAGTAAATCACCCTTGCATCATCTGCTATCAATTATCCAAGAGAAAGTGCAATCTCTCTTCCTCAGCCATTGATTGTGGATATAATAAATTATTTCCCCATTACACAACCCATTCATTCATCCTGCTCATCCACTAATATTTTTAGTTCCATTTAGTTCCATTGACTATTTTTATGAAAAATTACGTATCTTTGGATTTTTTTTTTAGTTCTTACTCCCATTGAATACCTTTTTACACAAAATTCTGTTTGTTGGAAAATCAGGAGTGTCAATCTCTGTGTGGGTCCAGCTGTCTGTAGCAGCAACAGTTCAACAAGCACTTCCTCCCAAACCCACTCCTACTTACACATGATCGGATTGCCTGGGTACATGATTAATGAGTCATCTACAGTAGGCAATACAGCTATATGTTTTTACTGAATTTTTTATTAGTTCTTAAGTTCACCAAATGAAAACTCAAGTCGGCTCATTAGGTCCTTAGAAGTCTTACCACAAAATTTTAAAATTCAATAGAGAGATGACTCAGCAGTTATGAGTTTGTTATGCTCCTATAGAGGACCTGAGTTTGAATTCCAGCCCTCACAAAAGGTGGCTTAAAGCTACCTGTAACTCCAGATCCAGTAGTATCTGAGACTTCTGGCTTTCACAGGTACCTCCACTCATGTGCACATATCTGCACACAAACACAGATTTTAGACATGTATGTATGTATGTATGTATGCATGCATGTATGTATATACATATGTGTATGTAATTTTGAAAACAAATAAATAACAAATCTTTAAAAATAAATCTTTAAAGTTATATGTTATGGGATTCCCACCTGGGTCCCGTTGCCACTTTAGCCCCCAAATAACACACAAGACACTATATTAATTATGAAGCTGTTGGCCATTTGCTATTGTTTCTCATTGGCTAGCTCTGACTTAATTATTGACCCATAATCACCAATATATATTTTATAAGGACATATCTCTCTGAGAACGCAGACTTGTGTCCCCTCTTCCCAGGAATACATGGCGATGCTCAGTTCACTACATTTCCCAGAATCCTCCTAGACTCCTGGTCTCACCTATCTTGCTTCCCTATTGGCCAACGGTGCTTTATTGACATATACACAGGACTTCCCCATCAGTTATAGGGTTTTTTGTATCTGTTGTTTATTTAAAGATCTTCCCCACTTCTGGCATTAACAATTGCAATCCTGGTCCCCAAACCATTATGTTATGGAAAGGGATAGTGGAAGTGATATATTCACAGAAAAAAAGCAGTGTATAAATATCAGGTTCTCCCAGTTCATCTCCTAAGGCATTGCAGAAAAGAAAACAAGCCTGTGTTGTGAGAAGGGGATGCTCTCTTGAGCCGTTCCTGCTAAGTGTGAGGACACACACGGGAAGATGTGAAAATAAACCCTTCCTTTTATCTGTCCAGTTGTAGACACATGTTCACAGTGCTCATTCTTATTCTCCAAGCTCCATTCCCCAGGAATTAGGCTCCTCTGTTCACTCTTAGATGGTATGAGCTCTTCTGTTTCTTATTGGAAGAAATGTGGCTTGGCCTTCCCAACCATCCCTGGCTTCTGTTCCAGTCCTTTTACAGAGGTTTCATCCCCTGACATTTGTGCAAAACCCTGTCCAGAATGTCTCTTCCTGTCTAGACTCATTTACACTCCCCAGGGGCTACCGGCATCTATCTTACTTGCCAACTACGTACAGAGCCTATCCTTGGAGGATCTGGCCCATATCTGTGAGCAATCTCTTTCTTGTTAATGACCAGAATATTTCTTGCTAGCAGTTTGTACCTCAGAGTATGTAAGGAGACATATCTGAGGTCCAACCTATTGCCATAGCTCCTAGTATTTCATTTTAAGTGTATAAGTAACCACATAAACAAAGCACACCAGAATATATACTTTACAAATTCCAATCATCTTTCAAACCTGAAAGGATTCCCCAATAATGCACCTCTCAAATTCCCAGGCTCATTTTAATAAGATTGTGTACCATGTGTATAGTCTTTTAATAAACCATTGTCAATCTTATGCTTAATTACATGCCCATGCTAGCGATGAAGGTTAGCCTGTGCGTGGGTGGCACCATGGTGTGCGTTGGAGGCTCATTCCAAATGAAAGGGAGAAAAGTAGAAAACCGGATGAGTGAGATACATCCAGATGTGAGCAAGTAACTTTAATATCCTGCCCCCATACTTTTTCTATTACCGTGGACTGAACTCTCTCAAACCATAAGTAGTTTTATTTTGTTTTATCTTAGTGAATTATATGGCATGTATATGATATGTTACCATTTCACTAGAAATAATATTAGTAAGATTAAAATTTGCTTCAGGGAAATATTTGGGGCAATGTACCTTCAGCATATAACTGCGTATTCTCACGTATTGATAATTGTCTAAAAAATTCATAGTACTTTGCTTCCTATCTGTAGTCTCTCCAATAGGTACTCTAACAAAGTCTTCAAGATTCAACCATACAACACACTGTTGAATTTGCAACATGTTCTGTTGCTTTGAATTTTATATAAAAAAAAACAACTTCTAGATATGAGCAATTGCTTTATTTATCTGAAGTTTTTAACTTAGCTTAATTCCCGGTAATTTTCAAATTTTTTTTTGTTTACTAATCATGTCTATGACAATCAGTCAATCCTGGCTAAACTTACCCATCCCAGCGAGCAAGGGGGACATTTATCAGTCTTGCAGGTAAGTGTAAAATGACAACCAACACAAGTATTTTGAAGGATAAATTCATAGCTCCAAAAGAAGGAAGTGGTTGGAGAAGAACGCAGCTGTGAGGGGAACATTGGGGAAGCCTTGCTGTAGAGGAGAGGGTGGAGGTGAGCTACAGTGTGTTGGGGAAAGGAGCCAGCACTCCGAGGGCATTTTAGATGAAGGCGTTATATCCAAGGGAGACTGTGTCCAACTTCAACGGCACGACGATGTCTTTACGGGGCCCCTTGTGTTTGTTCCATATGGCATCTGACGGAGACTGAAGGATAAGGCTGAGCCCTGTAACCCTGTTGCTGATGGCGTCACAGGGCCATTCCATCTTGGTGTCCAATTCCAAACAATCGACTTTTCACTGAAACCAAACTCGTTTGGACCATCAGGCCCCAGCCTACGTTCCCGTTGGAGAAAAAGCACAGCTGGTTTGAAAGAGCAGAGAAGATTCATTCTGCAAAGATTGGTAGGGGAGGGGCAACCTCCAGCCAACTCACCGCAAAGCTGCCAGAGTTGAGTGTCACAAATGGACACACCCTGTGTTGCCTCTGGCAGGATTAGTGCTCTCAGATTTTCCCAGCCTTCTCCCATTCAAATTTTCCACATGCTTTCAATATAGAAACGATTTACTTGTATTCATTATTCAGATTTTGAATTTGCTCACTTTTTAGAATGTTTCTGCTTCTGAGATCACACACACACACACACACACACACACACACACTCCCACACAATCAGGCCCCTTTAATTATCTTATTTGTCTCTCTGATGTTTGCAGACTGAAGTGGGAATGCTAGCTACCGCACCATCTTTAGGGATGTGAGGACCTAGGTGAGTTGCCAGTCACTTTTCTGACAGCCCATGACAGAACTGACTCTTCTGCCTTCCTGTGTTGCAGCTGTGCTGTACTGATTTTAAAAAATTTAAAGTGCATGTTTCATTGACTGAAAAATAAAAACAACCTTAAAATGTATAAACTTAATAATGCTAAATCACAAAACAGACAGCTAATTGGCCTACTTGATATAAAATGACAAATCAATGTGCCTGAAGCTTTCACTATTATGACAGTTACTATTGATAGCATATGCTATAAATTTATACCTAGTAAGTCTCACTCACACACACACACACACGCAAATATGTGTATGTGTATATATGTGGTAATATTTAAGCTTGATCTTGTAATCTATTTTGGAAATTAGAAAAAAAGCATTCCTTCACAATTGCCACAGCCTGTTGGAGAAACTGAAGAAATCTGTGTTTTTAATATCTCCATTAGTTATGAGTGATACTTTTGCTGGGTATAGTAGTACATGGGGTTTGTCAAAGGGACTGGTTTCTGTTTACTCTGCATTATAATACACAGAGGATTCCCTGCTTTGTGGTGGAAATGTCACTTTCAAAATCCTACCCTTTAGATTAGTGTCTACCTTAATTCTGAGGAAAATGGACAATAATTAGCACCCAATTAAAGACAGTGTTTCCCACTCTCCCAAAGTCTATCAATAGACGACAGTTTAGAGGTAATTGATAGGGCCCCACAAGTGACTTTGCCTTTTTTATCATTGGTAGTGCTGGTCTTGTGTGGACCTAATGCAGGTAAATACAGTTGTTTCATTTTGTTTAGTTTTGTTTTGAGAGACATGGACACAAAGTCACAACCTAGCTAAGATGATATTGACGTTTGATAACTGCTGGACAGGGAGAATTAATATTCTCTAAAAATGTAGACCCTAAAAAATCAATACCTTAATGGAAGGTCACATCTATGAATACATGGGTAGCACAATTAGAGTTGATGTGTTCAAAGCAAAAGGTCACTGTCTCAGTTGGGGTTTCTATTGCTGTGAAAAGGCAGCATAGCCGCAGCAACTCTTAGAAGAAACATTTAACTGTGGGTGTCTTACATTTCAGAGGTTTAGATCATTATTGTCAAGGCAGAAAGCATGGAGGCAAACAGGTACACATGGTGCTGGAGAGATAGCTGAGAGGTCTACATGCAAATCGGCAGGTAGCATGAAGAAGCTGAGCCTGGGCTTGAGCATTTTGAGACCCCAAAGCCCCCTTCCAGTGACACACTTTTCCAGCAAAGCCACACCCACTCCAAGGCAACGCCTCCTAGTGGTGCCACTCCCTATGGGCCTATGGGGGCCATTTTCATTCAATCCTGGGTAGGGAAGGGGCGATGAATCTGGGAGGAGTGTGCAAAGAGGGATGTGAACATGATCAAAACACATCCTATGAAGTTCTCAAAAAAAACTCATAAAATATGTATTAAAAACTAATTGAAATAATTATGTTCAAGTCTAGAGAATGACACGTTGTAGCTCATCACCTGACGTTCTACAGCTCTTACATATTTACGGACCCTGATTCCACAGGCTTCCACAGCCTTTAATGACCTATTTAGGGTTGCATCCAGAGACATGGCTGGTCCTATGCATCCTCGGCGGCCTCTCCCCATGCCTCAGCAGTCACTGTAGTTCTCTGTATGGAAAGGGTTCTCGGATTAAGGCTGGTAGGGTCTTTTTGATGACGCGTTTACTGTGACTCGTGAGAGTACGGCTTTGTACTCAAGACAGACTGAGATCTAAAATAGTCACTTAGGGACACTGCGGACCGTGTTCGCATAGTGTCTGGATCCCCCCAACCCTCCCGCCCCCATCCCTCCGCCCTCCTCCACCCCTGCCTTCAGTCGTATGACTTACAACGTGGAAAGTGCCAGAGCCCAAGTATTGTGATGAGTTCCAGGTTCCTGCAGCTTTGCATCAATAATCCCGGGGAGTCTTCTAGCCTGCTGGTGATAACGTTAAGAGAAAAGAATGGTTAAATCTAGAAGTAAGCTAAGGAGAAGACTCTCACTTCCCACAAGGATTTTACAGATTTGTTTTCACACTAAGGCAAGTGGAGAAAAGACATTACCTTGAGAAGAACGATTTTTAAAAAAAAGTTTTGAAACAAAAACTGAACTAGCCATGCATATCCTGTGGGATGAAACACACAGAGTGGTTACTCACATTATAGTCCTGGGGTTAGAAAAATGCAGACATCAGAAACTCTGAAGGAATCCGACAGGGATGCCTGCCCTTCTCCCTCTAGGCAATGGAACATTGTCACCTAGTCCTAGCTACCTTCGCTAGGCGTGAGGTCTGATTAGGTGGCCTGGGAACACTCATTTCTGGACTTACCTAAGGCCAGCATGCTCAGTCGGGTCCAGGTCTGCATTCTATTTTAATTGCCGCGACTGGCCTTCCCAAACTCTGCTTGATGTTTCCGTTGCAGGGGCCAATCTCCGAATGTCGAGGATGAAGAAATGTCCCTACTCTCTTTCCTGTTGCTTTGTAATGTCTGTTTGGCACTGCCTCTCCAGTGTGTGTTCTCCAGTCTTGTCCAGTTACCTTTGTGATTACACTTCCTTTGCAGGGCTAAGAAGGGATCACTGTTGGGCAGGTGAACTTACTGTGATAACTACGCTAAGAAACCAGAAGTCATGCCCCAATTCCAAGGCTCTGGAGGGTTTCCATTTCTTACGGCTCGGCTTCTGTTATTCAACGTTTCAGAATAAAGCCACTGGAAGGTCTTGGAATCTGTGATATTTAGTGTTGCATTCTCTCCGTTGTTTAAACTCGGTTTGAAAAACTAACAGAGAAAGGAACTCAGTTCCAATTAGTTCCTTGTAAGATTTGTCATGTGGGAAAAAATAGTATTTTTTGATGTTTTTACTAATAAGTAGAATGTTTTCACAAAAGTAGCATGGGAGTAATAATGCTTACTTATGTCCAACTGTGTTTTACCCGGTGGGAGTAAATTATTGTTATTCTAAGTATCCCATTATGGTTTCTTGGGATTTATTCCCCAAGTTGTCATTATTAGTATTTACGTTCAGAGAACACTTTAAGGCAGATTTGAATCTGTGAATACCTAGAAGGAAATGACTCTCATTAGGACTTCCTTTGACATCTACTAAGAATATGTTGAGTCATTGGCTCCTCCAGCAAAGCCTACTGTAGCATTATACCATGGTACACAGATCATTCTTGGCGCTGACTCTGTGGATCACCTATGATAGAGGCTTCCTCACACACAAAATCTGTCCCCCTAACTTGGTTATATCTTCCCTATTCAACTCCTACGGGTTTTACATGAACTTGCCATGTCATATATCTTCTCATTAACCTTGTTATGTTTGCACCAATGGCAAAGGGTCTGTGGGCATGCATGAAACAGACGAAAGTCTGTTTCTGAAATTTACTTTGTAATTATCAAGTCTTGCATAAGGTTCCATGTTATAAGCATCTGAGTTAATGTCTGTTGTGTCTGAATACACTCTGAAGCTGTGAGGGCATGCCGCTTACCTGGTAAATAACGCTTAAACATCTCAGCATTGTCCCATTGGTATGGATGGTTGGTTTGCATTGGCTACTCAATTCATACTGATGTCTCTTCAGTTTAAAAAGATAAGTAGTCATTTCATTTCTATCTGATGTAAAATCACGATAGTAAAATAAATCAACTGTAGAAAGCGTTACTTATAAAGCTTCTCAATTGTCTTCATTGATGAATACAAAGGAAGCAAACAAGCCAAGAAAACAGTGCTCGACTTTTGTTCTGAAATCTGAAGAGAACTAAATTGAGTGGTGCTTTGCCTCTGGGTCTTGTGGGATTTAGCCTTTCTTCATGAAGTATCCATCAGAGACAACACTTAGAATTGTGTCAGCTGGATTTGAAAGCAGGTAAGTTTAGCAGGGGAAGAGAATTCTAATGGCCAAATTTTATTTATTCATTGTGAAAAATGTAGTAACATTTTTTTATAATATTGTAAACATTTCCTTGGTTTTGTACCTAGCTTCTTAGGGAACTCTTTTTGTTGATGTTGCTACTGTTGCTAGTCTATTTTATTTGAACCAAGACCATATGATGATTATCAGTAACAGTATATCATGAGAACTGTAGAGTTACATCAAGAACAATCTGGTTCACGTGATGTGTAGCATGTTTGCCTGCCTGCTGGTGTATTATGTGGCTATTAAGATTTAACCTAACTCCATTATGCAAATGAAAGTCTTAGCGCTGATTCCTGGGGATATATCATAGTCAAATCAAGCAGGAACATAAAATTAACAGTTTTCAAAGAGAGCAGCACTCCCAAATTCCCATGGTTTTATCATTTTTAAAGAGATAAATTGGAGTGATGAAATGCCCAATGAGAGGTGGGGAATTAGTAAAAGAAGAATGTAGCTAAATATGGACATTTAAAAAATGTTAATTTTATTACAGCTGCCAACACCTCCCAGATTTATATCTTTGCAACACAAATGGCTAGCTCCTGATTCCGTATTTGTCACCTAGGCAATCAAATACCTTTGTTTTTTAATTGTTTCCAGATTACCAGATTTTTAGCATGATATTCTAATGTGCTCGTGTGTCCCTTGTCTATATTCCTTTTCAAAGAGAATAAAAATGTTTTGCTGGCTGAGGCTCTGTGGCTTCATCTAATATATGATAGGTAGGTAGATGAGTAGGTGGATAGATGAGTAGGTGGATAGGTGCAGAGAATATAGCACTTGAAGTCTTAATTAAATCCTCAGTTGATCATTACCTACATGTGATGTCTTCACTCCAACTCTCTATGATGCTTATAGCTCATTATATTTCTTCTAGTTACTCTCTGTTCTTATCTCTTTGTTCTTGCCCTTTTAAATACTCACCATCATTGCAGAATATTCAGCTTGCTTTTGAATCCATATCCAGAAACTGATGCTCAGGAATCTTTGTGGTGATGTCAGCATTTCCAAAGTCATTCATTGGAAGGGTTGGAATTAATATTGCTTGCTAAGTTTTCTGTATACAAGTCAAACTAAAGATGATCTGATTCTTATTTTCTTCTTTATCTCACAAGTCAGTCTTCTAACCTGGATCTTATAGTTCCATTTATAAAGTTAATTTAGTTTTTTTTTAATTTAGTGAACGAAAGAAATGAGAAAAAGAAAATATTACAGAATAGCATGTAGTATGGATAAGCTAGATTCTTTTTCTTATTTTGTACTATTTCTTGACTTTTGTTTTAGATATGCATATGTACACATTTGTATTTTGCATTCCAATTTAAAGTCTACTGTCATGAAGGATCATTGCATTAATGTTTAAAACTTTGCCTAATATCTGTTTCTCATTCATTCACAGATAATTATTAATGTATCTTGGTTTCCTATTTCTGAGATAAAATATTTAACAAAAGCAACTAAGGGGAGAAAGGGTTCACTTTGCCTCAAGGTTCAAGATTACGGTCCATCATAGCTGGGAATCCGTTATGGCTGGGAGCTCGAGGCACAGAGCAATGATCAGAGCCCTCATCTTACTTCTCTATTTTATGAGGTCTCCTTCCAGCCAGCATGGGCCCTTCCACAGCTAATAAGGTAATGGCAATTCTCCACAGGCTGCCCAGAGACTCATCTCAAGGTGACTCTAGATCTGCCCACTTGATAATTAACACTAAGCACCATCACATATAGACACCATGTCCAGTAAGTTGGAAATGTAAAAAAGCTTGATATGATGTCTGTCTTGGAAGAGCTTGCATTCTTCCAAGTGAATGTATTATACACACAAGTGTATGCCTAACCTGAGTTCTGAAGAGCAGAGTCCAGAAAACGCCCCAAGAAGACAGGATTAACAATGATTCCACAAGCTTGTGATTTTTTTTTGCTCCATGGAATCTTCAGCTTTCTGATCTGGTGTCAACATGTTGAATTTTAATTAGGACAGGTTAGTTTTACGCCTATTACCTTCTCTTCTTTCAAACTAATATGATCATTGACAAATAACTGATACACAAATTTCTGTTTTAGTGAAATGGAAAAAAATAACAGTGGACATATTTTTTATAGAGAGATACCTAAGCTTATACTCAGAAGAACTGAAACAATTTACAGAAAGAATTTTCCTTGACACGAATGTCTCCTCTATAAAGCTCCCCCTTTTGCCTAAAATTCAAGTTTGGTCATAGTAAACCACTCCATCCATCGCACAAAAGTCCGAACACACTGTGGCACATTACGCTTCCACGGCAGCCTTTACGTGAAATTTCATACGGATGTGTGCCGATGCTCAAAACATCAATGAGTCAACAATATTAGGACCACACAGCAGATTTCAGATTGTCTTTCTTGTTTTCTTGCTACCCCAAATGCAGTGTACTTTCACATGGCAGTGTCACAGATAGAGCTTAAAGCCTAATAAAGATGAATTTTACGTGGGTATATTAAAATACTCGAACTTGGATTATGCAATAGCAAGATTAGAATTCCGGTCATACTGAAAACGGAAAGAGCCGATCGCCACTCTGCAAACAGAACCAGAGCCAACTGCTTTTACGTGAGTGCTTTCTGGAAAGCTCCACAGGCCTTCCTCGAGTATTGACTTCTGTACTCTGGCTTCCTCAGCACCCTCCCCCTGAAGCAAGCACCTCATTCCTTCCACAGACCTGTCCAGGTGCCGACGTTGTTCTTCGTTCAGAGTCTTTAGCAATTGCTTTAGGTTCTGGTCATTCGGTACTTCAAAGAGGGAGAGCGTCTCTGAGCAGCTACACGAGTGTCCACCCCATGCTCCCCATGCTGCCGTATTAGTTGGGGCATCTTTTTCACATTCAACTCCATGAAGCCTTTTCGGTTTCTAGTGGCCAAATTAGTCTATAAAGTCCTGGGAAGCTGCTTGCTTATTTTCTGAGGAATCACAGGACAGCCAAAGCTTCTGGAGTCTGTGCCCTTATTAGGACTTTGATTGAAAGACCTAAAAAAAGAATCCAATTTTATTTAAGTTTCTGAAACAATTTGAAATTGTGTTTAAGAGTTAGCTTTGTATTTAAGATAATAGTAAGCATGAAATAGCAATAATAAAGCTACAGGTTACTGTTTGTTTTCTTGTTCTCCAATAAGGTTCTTCTTAACAATTATTTTGTGTGTTATATAAAAAACTATGAAACTATTTTCTATGACCTATACAAGCTGGTTTTACATCTTGAAAATATCTATATAACTTCTTGAGGGTTTTCCCCATGAAAACTATACATCACTCTTAATACTTCAGTCTTTATCTTTTATCTCCTCTGGCATATGACATATTCTTAAATGATTCAAGCCAAGACAATACAACCATGGACAATTGGGGAACCATCAACTTTCAGCCTTACCTCAAACACTAACACGTATGACTCCTTAGATGACCATGTGAAGTATAAAGAATGTGAATTATTCTTGCCACGAGCCTACAGAATTAAAAAAGCAAAACACAAATCCAATTGATGAAGTTATTTTGTTAAGCACTAGCCTAGAGATGGGGCCTAATTTTCAGTCTTCTGCTGCCAGGTTACATGTTTTGCACACGCCCCAGCAATTATTCAAGACTCTTGCCAATTCGTGAAGGTTTCTGTCTAAAAATTTCTCAAACTCTTGTCTCTCTGCAGTGAGCTAGTCTTTCTGCTCCCTTCTGCATCCCATGCAGAGGCACCCCGGATCCCCAGCATGCTTTGCCCTAAACCTGACGTCAATAAAGTTTGGTAATGTACCATATTCTCCAGCATTGCAAAATCCCGTAAGAAAATCTGGCAAGGGAATAGATTGTCTAGACGGAAGAGGTTAGGACTGTGCTGAGGGCCATCAGATAATTTTCTCGTGCCATTAACAGTGTACAGTCCCATTTTAGGATAAGAAAATGGGTATGAAAATGTGAAACTATTTGGAAAATTCTTAAAACACAGGAAGGACTCTGATGCTGAAGCCAAATCTGAGACATCTCCAGAACTTCACTGGTCATATTAGATGGTTATGGGACTAATTTTCAGAAATGAAGTTCCTGGAGGCAACACAATTACTGGTAACTTGGTTGCCTTCATTCAAAAGTGTAAATGGACACAGGCATGAGTTTACACAGTGCTTTTCTTTTATCTAACTGGGGAGCCTGGCCTGTACAATGTGATATAGAACATCCGCACATGAATCACAGGAGAAATTCTACCCTGTGAAGCCCTGTGTGTGTCCTGTGCTATCAAGGAGACAGATCAGCAACTTTTAAAAAAATATGTGACTACTGTCAAAGAAACTCAACATTAACTGCCAAGCACAATGACAGGTTATCGATTAACTAATCCTAAAGACAACACATTCAATTCATAAAAGTTATTACAGTTTCTGCAATAAAAAGGCTGGAAAATTATTCTACACACAAGGCTAACCAGAAAAAAATGAAAAGGCCGACAGAGAAATCCAGTGCACATGTGTGAATATCATAAGGAAGCCATCACATTTTTATTCATATTCCTAAATTTCAAGAGCTGGAGAGATTGGGTTCCATGCTCCTCCCAGAGGAGCCAAGACCATTCAGTTTCCAGCATTCATGTCAGTGAGCTTACAACCTCCAACAGCTCCAGCGCCAGGAGATCTGACACCTTCTGTCCTCCATGAGCAATTAAACTCATGTTCACATATATACACAGACACACCACACACACACACTCACACACACACACACACACACATACACACACACACCAAAATAAAAGTAAAATCTAAAATTTTTATATAGAGATAAGAGATGCCTGTGTCTTTAAAGTTGTTCAGAATCTCACACAGTTAAAGCTATCTAAATAACATTCCCAATATCAGTTGTTTTAAAAATATCTGTTAAAATATTAATTCACTTTCTGTTTGGGTTTTGTGTGCATCACATGATGTTTCAATCAGATACTTTCAACCGTAAAGTAACTCAGAGTTTGCATGAGGCAGACAGGCTGGCATAAATCCGGAAGTGTTCAAAACATAAATCTGTGTTCTCAACTCTAGAGAAAAACATGCAAGCAAGTCTTCCCTGGAGAAAATAAAATACACCATCTTCCAGTTTCCAGATAGGCAAACCACACTCTAGTTTCCCTGCAGGGGAATCTATTGGCAATCTCTAACAAGCTAAAATAGATTTCAGAAGAATCTGTCATCGGATTCCCTGGGGTTCTGTTCAGTGTAATCTGAAGAACATGCATATTGGGGTGATAGCTGATTACATTTTCTAATTGTTTTAAAATAGTCTCCTTCACCTCACCATCCGCAAAACTCATTCTTCCTGGATTTCTAAGGAAAATTAAATAATATCGTTGTATTAAAAATACAACAGATCTTTTGAACATAAAGAAGGCTACATAATGTTCTTTACCACAGAAAACCTGACTCAATTTAACCTGCACTGGTGCCAGCATGAGAAAATCTGGTATTTTTTTTGGAAGTGGCAGAATTTCCCTGGGGCAGGCTGCTCCTCCCATGGATTCGCTTACCACACAATTATGAGCCCACGTGACTCGGTGTGGAAACTATTAACCCTTCCACTAGCATGCTGGTGGAGCAATTATTAAAGCCATTCTAACATTGAATTTATTTTACTCTCAATTTTTTAAATAATTTTTAAAAACGTGGAAAATGTTGCTGATGAAAACTCTTGGCATCAAATTTAGCATCTATTGACAGATGGAAATTAAAACTACTGCTATCATACAAGTTTCCACTGAAAAGCCGTGCTCATCAGTCATGCTAATGTTCCCCACAAGGGCAATATAGAACCCATTTGTAGCATTATTACAATGTTAAAACCACTGGCAAACAAAATATCATAAGGTGAGTAATTAAGATAATTTAGTGGAGGGGTTAGTAATTTAGTTCATTGTCAGAGTACTTTCGTAGCAAGCATGGACCCTGGGTTCAGTCCTTAACTGAGAGAGAGACAGAGACAGAGACAGAGACAGAGACTTTAATGTAAACCCCAAAGGTTCAGGTTTGTCTGTAAATTCAATAAATTTGTCTCGTCTGGAACCCAAATATATTATAGCAGAAGACCATGAAAATGTTTTCTGTGTAAACATAATGGCCAAATATCATGAGTAGTTTGTAAAAAAACAATAAGTGCCACACACAATATATATATTTTTTCAACTGGGTGAAACCTAAAAGTTAGAAGAAACTAAGAACCATATACCAACAGCTACAAAAATATCAAATGAACAGCAGGAACATATAACTACAAAACTATGATTCAGGAAAGCATTCCTAAGGAGAATATAAATTCCCACAGTCATCACAAATATTCAGCATGAAATCATTATAAAGTATTAAATGTCTCTTTTGGAAAAATGTTCCTCAAAAGGAAATGTAAATTATAAATTGAACAGTAACATAACTAATAAGTATAACTAAAATTTTATAAATCGGAGATGAAGGTCTTAAGAACCAATTTTTAGAAACACAAATGGAAATAAACAAATGAACAAGAAAAATGTCCAGACCACCTGAAGGATGTCTGGCTAATCTATGGGGCCTCTGGTAGTGGATCAGTGTTTATCCCTAGTACACTATTGAACTTTGGGAGCCCACTCCACATACAGGGAGGGGCGGGTCTAGGCTTTGCTCCAAATGATATGATTGTCTTTGAAGGCCTCACCCTCCCTGCGGAAGAGAAAGAGGTTGGGATAGGGGATCAGTGGGGGCCAAGGGAGGAGGGGGAGGGAGAGGGAACTGGGATTGACATGTAAAAGAAGCTTGTTTCTAATTGAAATTTAAAAATGAAAAAAAGAAAAATGTCCAATAAATATATGAAAAGATGTTTAACCTCTGTTATAAAAGTATACATAAAAATGTGAATTTTCATGACCCTTTATTGAATAAGCAAAATATTTGTGAGGATGTATTAGTAACACTGGAGAGAAAATGAACACTCATAAACTATTGAATGCAAATGCCTTTTAAGGAAGCAATTTAGCTAGAACATAAAATTTAAGATCTAAAATTCTGCAGTTCTTCAAGTAAAGTATTAAGACACATCTGCCTCTATGAATTTGCCAAAGGATTAAGGATTATTAAATATAGCAATGATTTTGCAATAAGTATTTGCCAATTATATAGTATATTATATATGACATTAATATCCAGAAGGTATAAAGAACTCCTAAAACTCAGCAACAACAACAAAAATGCCAGTCAAAAGACTCAAATAGTATATTTTGAAAAGGAAATATACAAAAGCACAGCAAATGTTTAAATAGATGTGCAGAGCCTTTAGGAAAGTGTCAATCAAAACTACAAGTTGCTAATATACCCACTAGGAGAAAACAACTAAACAGTAGCTGTTCTTTGACGAGAATTTTGGAAACTGTACACTTTGTGAATCGCTGGAGATCAGAAGAGAGTACACAAGAGGTTCACTGTGGAAACCATTTTACGAAGACAGCAGAAGGAATTGAAGACTAGAAATGATTTAAGGCGTGCATGCTATGCTCACAGTAGCATCACTCAAGCAGCTGAAACAGAAGAGCAACCCAATGTCACTCAACAGGAGAGTGAAGAAATAAAATCTTCCAGTCATAGGCATATGCAATATATGTCTATATATTATATACATACATATGTATATGTATGTGTGTGATATTATGTATGATACATGAGTATATGTGTATATATTGCAAATATAATGGAATATTGTTCATTCATAAAATGAGTTAATTTTGATACATGCATCAAAAGGGAAGAATCTTAGTTGATGAAATATTTATTGTAGCTCATGGTTTCAGAGGAATTTCTGTCTATACATATTACTCATAGGAAAATCTAAAGAGGCTACATATTATTATTCCAATCACAGGAAAGTCTGATAATAGGGAAACTATACAAAAAGCGGATTAGTGCTTGTCAGGATTTCAGTTGGTGTTGGGAGAAGAATGGTGGAGCTAGGTAATGTACAGGGATTTTTACGGAGTGATGACATAGTAGGAAAACATGGTAGTCCTCAAGCCCATTGATGAAACCTAGCATCAAGAACAAGTCATGTTGTTATTAATAGTACATGTGCTTTAAAATGTGCGTGAGAATGGCTTTTGACTCAGGTTACTCCTAAAAAATTACCAACACACTTATTGTGGCCATCAGCGTGCAGTCCTGTAAGGTTATCTAGAACACAGAAGGTCTAAGAAACTTAAAACCAGAGGTGCCTGAGGAATCATGACTTTCATGTGCAATTTGTATTCTGAATGGGTCCTGGATCCCAGGGAAGATGACAAACACAGCTCTAAAGAGTAAAGATAAGTTACAGCTCTGACAAAAATGTCCACAGACCACGTGTCTGATAAAATATCTCTGCCTAAAGTACACAAACAGTTCTTGAACTCAAAGGCGGCATAGCCAAACGAGTGGCTAAATTTTGAAAATGAATTCAGGGAACTAAAGCATTTGCCATAATTCTGTGATTCTAAAGTTCTTCTAAAATATGATTATTTACGTAGTTTTAAATTTGTTTAGAGTTCTTAATTATTCCTTTTCTTTTTTGCTAGTTTGTAATAATATTACATCATTTCCAACTTTCTTTTTCTCCCTCAAATTCTTCCCATACACTCCTTCCTTGCTCTATTTCAAATCCATGGCATCTGTTTTCATTAATTGTTGTTCCTAGATGCAACCTGCTCGATATGTACGCTTCTCGGATGTGTTTTCGGGGCCTGAATGTTCGGTATTGAGTAACCAACTTGTGTGCTCTTCCCTGGGGAAGATTTTCTCTGGTTGTCAATGCTCCTGTAATTCTCTGTGTAGGTTTGAGGCCTCCTCAGCTTTCCCCGTCAGCATTAGCATTTATATTGTTGTTGTCCTTGTTCAGCTCATGTTTAGACAGTCATACCGGTGGGACTTTACTGGTATAGCTTCTGACTTTCCAGCAGGATCACTCTAAGGGTGCAGTAGTGGCATGAGTTGGCTGTAACCAATAGTTCTCCAACAAGAAGGAAACCATGTCTTTTACCGGAAATCTAGACAACTACCCAGGACTAGTGAAATCATGGATCTTCATGGATGTTAGGTGGAAATGTACAAACCACTTTACTAAACCAGCATAATCCCTAACTTCATCTAAACAACCTTCATCAAGAAAATTTGCAAAAGGAAGAGACTATTACAGAATATACCACAAGGAATCAAAATGTAGAATTGGAACTCAGTCCCAAAAGATGTAGCTAGAGCGGTGTCTCAGGGAATAATGTAGAAGAGGATTGGAAAGATTGTAAGAGCCAAATGAAGAGAGTTCAGTGTGTGTTTGAGTATTTTACCTGCATGTGTGTATGTAATGCATACATGTATTTAATATGGTAGATTTTTTGATTGATTTACTTAGCTTTCTTTCTGTGAACAGTTGTTATAATCTACAACTTTATACTGAAGGGAGATACTATATGAACTCCATAGAATTTCAGACTAATTTTCCTTCAAGAATGAATTTTCCTGTGTTTTATTTTTATGTTCACAATTGCACTATGTGTTTACTGAGGATGATTTTGCTTAATATGTACATTGTGGGTAACTTATAAAGGCTTTCCTTAACATGAAAGTTTGGATAAAAAGTTTTGTGCGGGTATACTTCTGAGTCTTACCTCAACCAACAGTTTTATTAAGGACTACAGGTTATACACCAATCAAATGTGCAACAGATAAAAATTGACATCAATGGATAATATATTGACTGAAATAATAGTTATCTCAACAATTAAACAAGAGCCTAGTTACATCCAAATATCACTTTATAAGAACTAAATAGAAAGTCCTTACTGTGGAAAACAAACCATTCTTTTGGGTCTCATAACTTCACAACCTAATACAACATCAGTGTTGGGAGTTATCTGGCCTTATTCAATATGATTCCTCTTAGAATAGAAGCTGCCAAGATTTGATTATATTATCACATGTTAATTGGAATATCTTTCCCTAAGGAGGGAAGGAATCGCCATACAAAATCCAGATGGAATTTCTAAAGAAACACAGTCTCATAGAAAACTTCATATTCCTCTACCCTTACAACTTTACCGCCCCTTTTCACAATGATCCATGAGCCTTAGATGCATCATTTGTGTTGAACATGTGTTAGTTGAAACTGGGAATCACATGATCTCTTATTTTCTGCATTTTGATTGGCTGTGAATTTTTGCTCCAGATTGATTATCCAGTGCTGAGGATTATCCAATCCTGAAATGATAAACATGCAGGTAGCAATATAGAGCCCAGGAATATTACAGGAGAGTGAATATAATTATATTATAAATTGAAAGCTTAAAATATATATTAGTTTAAAATTTTCTAGGTATCATTTATGTGGTATTTAATTTGAACTTTTATAGAACTTTTCACAAATTAGATCTTGTCTGGAGGAAACCAACAAGGTGGTGTGGAACTTGAGTTTAAGATAGAAAAAAGGAGTTGCTTTGAGTCTCCATTTAACTTGATGTTGGATATAGGATTGCTACACATTGCCTTTATTATGTTTATGTTTGTCTCTTGTATCTGCAGTCTCTGCAGGACTTTTATAATGAGGGGTGTAGATTTTGTTAAAGGCCTTTTCTTCATCTAATGAGATTATTGTGTGGCTTTCCTTAATTTCAGTTTGTTTATATGCTGGGTTACATTGTTTGATTTTCATATATTGGACCATCTCTACATCTCTGGAATGAAGCCTATATGATCATGTTGGATGATCACTCTGATGTGTTCTTAGATTTAGTGAGTTATTTTTGCATCTGTGTTCATAAGGGAAATTGGCTTGTAATTATTTTTCTTGGCTGAGCTGTATGTGATTAGGGTGTCAGGGTAACTGTGGCCTCATAAACTGAACTGGGAAATGCTCCTTCTGTTTCTATTTTGTGGAATAATTTGAGGAGCATTGGTGTTAATTCTTCTTTGAAAGTCTGGCTATCTCTTGCCACCAGCCAAGGCTTCCAGTGGAGGGGCTGGTTTGCATTTAATTAAGATATGGGCCAGCAGGGTTCCACGAGAATTCCCAAACACCAAAGTCTGTTGCTAAGACAAAAGGATGCTCTCTGCAAACTGACAGAGAGGCCCCATTGCCAAGGACAATGACCACACAACTCATTGAACACAGGGAAGCCAAGCTGGTGCCTACATGGAGTCTTCCTTCACCCACATTGTCTAGTCTCTTTGCTGCAGAATGGTACTCTGATGTCTACTGAGAGAGACACTTAGACACAAATCCAGCCACTGAACCTCTCACCTACAGTCTTCCCTGCCTGCAATGTATGCTAGGGCAATGGTGGCACAAAACTTGTAGGAATCAATGTCTGATTTGATTTAAGGACCACTCCATGAGAGAGAACCATGCACAGCACTGTTTGGGTAACCAAGAACCAGAGACTAGACAGCCCAGAGACCTAGGGTAAAAACCAAACACTAGTGGTCTACAGAAAGAAAAGTGTTAATAAAATGACCCCCAATGATATACTGCTATACTCACAGATCAGTTCCTTATGGAGTATCTTTGATGACAATTAAGGTAGCTACAAATCTGATGACAGTAGATGGTTAGTTCAGGCACCTTTTCCACTATTGCTAGGAGTCTTGGCTGAGGTCATCGTTGTGGATTCCTGAGGGTTTCCCTGGCAACAGGCTTCTCCCTAAGCCCAAAATGATCCTCCCATCAAGACATCTCTCTCATTACCCCCCCACCTCCATCCCACCTCTAACCCATCTCCTGTACTCATTTTACCCAGAAGATGTGTTTCCCCTTCCCATAGATAAACATGCATTCCTCTTTGGGCCCTCCTCGTTATCTAGCCTCTCTGGGGCTGTGGATTGTAGGCTGATCATCCTATACTTCCTCCTCATATCCACTTACAGTGAGTACGAGAATGAGGCTATTTATATCTTGTTTATAGCAATAGTCTTTGCATAAATGTTAAATACACACACACACACACACACACGCACACAAACTAGCATAGAAATACAGAATAGGAAACGGTAATCTACTGGTAAAAGACAAGTAAGCCCAAAAATGCCCAAAACAAAGCAACATGAGACAGAAGTCTACGAACATAGCATTGAGTTAGTATGATATATGTCTTATTTTGAGAAGGTTTGGAAGGAAATGCTTCAGTCTAAGTATCTTGTCATGACACTCCCACTGCCTTTATTAACTAGACCCAGCCCTATTGTTCTGCAAACTGGCCCTAAGTACTGCAGTCTTTGGCCATCTAAGATATTGTTCCTCCTTCATGAGATCATGTCTAAATCTCATTATCCTTTTCCATCTCTGTTTTTATCTAGACTGCCTTTTAGGGCTCAATTCCTTTGTTTACCCTGGAAGCCTCATGTAATTATTCAGTCTGCCTCTGCCAACCTCTGTCTGTCTTTAGCTTTTCTCATTCAGGACAAAGGACATTCCTTAACTACGTAGTTCTGCTTCTAAAAAAATAATATCTGTCTCATGTGGTGTCCCAGCCCAGCATACACCTGGCTACAGTCTGCCTCCCAGACAGCAGGGGTTCAACAAACAGCTACAAATGACAACCTTCAAATCTTAGGAGCTGCCGACCACTGTGCCCCTGAAAAGAACCGACCCTGAGTTAAAGGATAAACGGGATTCCTCACAGCTTCTCTGGCCCATCGGTCACTGTGAACCGATTAGTATGCAATTCTCACTTCATAGTTAGTGGAAATGCAGTTGAAGACTCCTCCTACATGCACACAAGGAAGGATTTCAGCAGGGTGGTTGCCGGAACGACTTGTGCAGACTTATGTATTAAGGGCTCTGACAGGCAGAGCTAATACACCTTGCTTCACAATGACAAAAGTCTTCAACTGCTGAATTCACTTCCATTTTTATCCTCTCTCTCTCCTTGAAATTTGTTTGGCAGAATCACTTTAATACATTTATCTCTTTCCCTCCTGGATTGTGGAATTACTCATGCCTGGGATGCATAAGTGAGCAGTGTCCTATTACACCATGGGATTAGAGGCTTTATGAATCATTCCAAGATGAGGAAAAAATGTGTTTATGTAAGAAGCTGTATGTCTGTATGGAAAGGGTACAAAGAATTTTTAACAACCCGGGTTCTTGGTTCAAGGAGGCTTTTCAAATTCTATACAAAAACAGCTGCAGGTACATATGGCAGGCAACATTTAGCTAAACACGTACCTTCGGGAGAGAAGATATTTTGAATTCAGCATAAATTTTCATTGATTTCTTCCGAGAAACCTAAGACTTAGATGCAGTAGAAGGGGAAGTCTTTAAGACTCAGGTAAGCTCATGCCACTTCTTTAAAATTTAAACTTTAACTACCTTCATTATAGAAACATATGTGGTCTGTGGCAGGTGTAAATCTTTTAAGAGAAAAACTCCTAAAAATGGTCTTTCTTGGCACAGGATGTGAAAAGCCCTACACATCTTTCGGACAACAGACACAAATGCGAAAACCTGGTGGGTAGCTGCATTCTCCTTGAAGTCATCCATGTTGACATTGAGAAGTTCTGAGATTTCAAGCTCTTAATGATTAAGCCTGTGTATGTGTGATCTCTCATGATTTCATCTTTGTTCCTTAAAATCGACTTGCTACTCTCTTATGATTTTTTTTGGAACACTGGTGTCTCTTTGTCATATTAGAAAGTAATGCTCTTGTAGAAGAAATGGCAAGAGGCCAGGGACGAGGGCCTAAGATGGTTGGGGGAAGGCCCAGAGGGTGAAGTCCTTGTCAGGCAAGCAGAAGAATCTGGGTTCAGATCTCTAGTACCGATGTAAAAATGGAACCTCACGGCTTCTACCTATAACCACAGTCTGGAGAGACACCAACAGCGGGATCTCCAAGATTTTTCTAGTGAGCCAGTCCAGTTGAATCAGTGAGCTCCTGGAGTAAGTACAGAAGGCACCTGTGGTAGCTCGAATGTAATTAGCCCTCATAAGCTCACAGGGAATCGAATTATTAGGAGGTGTGGCTTGGTTGAAGTGGGCGTGGACTTGCTGGAGAGAGCAGGGTGGGCTTTGAGGTCCTTTGTGCAAGCTTCACTCAGTGTGACACTCAGATCTGTTGCCTTTGGGTCAAAATGAAGAACTCTGTCTCAGCTCCTTCTCCAGTGCCATGTCTGCCTGCACACAACAAAGTCACACACTGTTATGATCATGAACTAAACCTCCGAAAATGTAAAGCCACACCACGGTCTGTTTCCATAGGAATAGGAACCCTAAGACAGCACCCCATGTTGACCTATAGCCTCCACGTTCATGTGCATCCATGTGAACACACACACACACACACACACACACACACACAGATACATGCATATACACCTACCCACGAAAAGAAATGGTTAATAGTGAAATTAGTGCTGAGCTTACGAAATGTGTGCTTGGGCTTGGAAAGTCTGAAACTTGCAGTGCAGTGAGAAATGCTTTTTTCAGTGATCCTTTATCTGCATGATTGTTTTCAAAATCATTTGGTCATAAAAGATACCAGAAGGTGATACACATATACAGAGACAGATAATTGAACACAATGCAAATACTTTCGTTATAATGGATATGAGTACATTTCCAGGCATATGTGTGTATGTTTAATTTTAAACCCATTTTCCCATAATCTTACAACTACCTGATTTCATTCTAATGAACCGCTCGACCCATATTACAGGCAGTAGGATTGAGGCAAGTTTTCCCACATGCGTGGTTAAAATTAGATAGTGAAACCACTCCACCCAAGCATCAAATTCCAGTCTCTAACCACAACAGATGGTTGAAAAATATGTCCGTTGGACTGACTAGTTTATTAACCGGTCTCCTTAGACTTAGTATGGAACATAGGTGATGTTTTCCTTGAGCTTACTAAACTGGTTAAATGCAGTTGGTAGCCAATTTTTCACCAGGGGCTGATTCTACTTCAATATAGGTAGGGGTAAGGTGTTGGCAGTAATGTTATAATCATATACAGTCTCTCTTGGGATGGAGTATGTGTCCTTCATGCTTTTTCAGAAATGCTTCAGATACCTCTGAATCCAGAAACCATCTTCAGATGTCGGACTCTGGTTGTGTCTCTTTCTGGGTTTACGGCGCTCCTCAATCCATGAAAGGACTTCGATGCCAGGCGACACCTCGTTCATCTCTCACTGTGACTTTTGTCCTTCTGAGTCAGTGTGGCAGGGGAGCAGCAACCACCCCTGCCTCCCCCCCCCCCGAAAAGGGTCGTTTCTGAGCATCTAATCCCTCTTCTCTGACTCAGACAAAGGAACAGAAAAGAGGCAATCATACATTTCCCATGGAATTAATAAAGTATTCTGTGGTAGTTTAGGAGCATAGAATTCTCCAGAAGAACTAGCATTATCCAGACGGTCACAGGACTTAACACTTTTCCTGGTTAAGACCCAAAAGAAACACAACCCAGGAACAGGCTTAAAATTTCCCTCAACACATCTGCTACAGAGGACCTCAGTGTTGTCAAGCGGGTTGTCCTCCTGCGCCCTCCTTACATTTTGACGTCACCTTCACGTTCGCCGGTGTCACAGTAATTCATTTTCCTCAGCCACATTTTATAACCCACAGACACCTTCTCACAGTGCCCTCCAGGAATGTCTGCATTTTAAACAAGAACATTCATTAAATCTCGGATTGCTCCATGGGGAAGAAATAGATTGATACAAGAAATAAATCTGTGCTTTTGAATATGAAAAGCATATTTAGGATTGTGGGAGAATTCAGATAATATGTTAAAAGAGAAAGTAAACTCAAGGATACACATTTCCAGTGTAGGCTTTTGCATTAGCTGAGTGGATTTGCAGATTTTAAAAATATTTGTTACTTACTAGCTTTTCTTCTTGATGGAACAGGGCCTGCCTCTGGTTGCCCACCCATTCTGTGGGCAGCTAGCGCTGTAAAAGGCAGCCGCTTCCCCCAGCATGAAAGTGAGGGTGGTGTATGTTTGCCTTTGCCTCTGGAAGACTCAGAACAGGGATGGATGAGTGGACCCTGCCTACAAAGCAGTTTCTACATTGTCATGGGGCTTCTATGGGCCCAAACATCAGTTAATCTCTGTTCTAATACACTGGGCACCAGAGTCATGGAGACCCTTTCTTTTCCTGGTTCAGGGTGCCACTCTAGACTTTTCCCATAAAACCGTACACATCAGCTCCATCTCCACGCCCATCTACTGCCTTACTTTCTCCTAATGTTATTTCTTTCCATTTTACCTAGACAAAATATAAAAGTGTGTTTCTATTAGCACATATGCATATATATACTTGTATATATATGCACACAGACACACACACACACACACACACACACAAGATTATTCTATGCCATCCAAGTCTAGTGCTTCTGTAATGAACAGTTAATCTGGACTTGCAGTCGTGTACAGTTGCTCTGACAATTTCCTGAAATTTTCTAATGTGCCCCTTGACATCTCTTAAAAAACAAACAAAAAAAAACCATCTTCTTCTTGAACATCTTAAATGAAAAGAAGAAGGAATAAAAAGGAAGGGCATAACAGTTCCTAGGTATTATTGTGTGGAAGAGAAGGTTTACTGTGGACAGATAGAAGGGAAAGCATAGTCCCAGGCAGGGACGTTTGGGAGAATCCAGGGTGGACATGTCCCTGACCCTGATAGGGATAGGGGGAGGGGGGAAGGAACCAGATGCAGCAGCCAAGAGTGAAAAAGGGACAGACAACCAAAATGCCTGGGTTATAGAGTGAAAATCCCCTGGGGGAAGGGCAGCCCAGCCCCTGGGCTAGAAAGTTTGGGGTAGAGGGTGGGGTATAGCAGCCCTACCTTATAACAGGTAGGGACTGAGGGATGCTGGAAGAACCTGAAGGCCAGGTCTGCTTTGATGGTTTAAATAAGCACCCCTCAGCCTTTTGTTGGGAGTGGGGTGGGGGGGAGACTTAACAAAGCATGGTGTAATGAGCCAGCAATATGGTTCTACTTGTTGTAGAAGCTCTGGTGGCCTTAAGTTCAGCTCCTGGATCCCATGGTGGAAGGAGAGAAGCAACCTCAGATATGTTCCTCTTCCTCTGACTTCTGTGTTGTGATACACCATGCACATATCACACACACACACACACACACACACACACACACACACACACACCACTGATGTGAGGGGGACCTTGGCAGATCCCATGGATGTTGAGGGACAAAGACAGAGCCTTGAAGTTTTATGGGAGGAAAGGAAGGGAGAGAGGAGACGCACACACACACACACACACACACACACACAGAGAGAGAGAGAGAGAGAGAGAGAGAGAGAGAGAGAAGAAGAAGAAGAAGAAGAAGAAGAAGAAGAAGAAGAAGAAGAAGAAGAAGAAGAAGAAGAAGAAGAAGAAGAAGAAGAAGAAGAAGAAGAAGAAGAAGAAACAGGAAAAGAGCTGCCTCTTCAGAGGAAGAGCAGGAAGAGACAGGGAGTGGGCAGAGCTTGTCTCTCAAAGGAACCTTTTCTCCCTGCACACAGAGTCAGGGTACTGCTTTCCATGTGCCCCAAGGGGTGTGGCCAAGGCATGCCTGGATGCTAACATCCCTCCTTTCTCAAGACTACTTCCTGCTGACCCTGGGGCATTGACCATCTTTGGGGGAGCTGGCCATATCCGGGGTTAGCCAGTTGTTTCACTGTGTCCAGACTGTGTAGAATCATCCTGTGTCTCTGACAGAGCAGAGGACAAGGTTAAGTTTGGGGGAAAAATTCCTTAGGTCCTGGTAATTGAGACAGGTAGATTGCAAAACCAGGGAAGAGTAGGATGGTACTTACCCGGAGTGATCTGACCTGTTCAGGTAAATCTGAGTTGACTCCCTGAGATTACAAGAATTCTTTGAGCTTGTGAAAACGTAAGTTTCAGACACATTAGCATTTCCACTGTTTGCAATCTGTACTGAAATCCACACTGTAGAAACAGCAGTATACCCATGCCAGAAATGACTTTGGTTGAAAGCATTAAAAGTCTTTCCTCCATCCAGAAAACTGTGATGGATATTTTTTTAGCACAATGAAAAGCACCTTTGAAGTCTATAGTTAGAAAACAACCAGAGAGAATTTTAGATCTTGATCTTGAAGTTATGACTGTGTAGTGGTATGGTACAGTGTTTTGTACTCCCTCATAGTTGGGTTAATAGCTCATCAGAACTCTATCAATTACAGTTAAGACTATGAACTTTTGGAATCCTAACATAATAGTAACATTCTCTTTGTCAGCACTTAACCCTCAGACGTTCATAACTTGCATTTACAACACACCTTTAGTCACTCTTATACCCTGAAACATTCTCAGATCGTCACATCTTAAGTTTTCCCATCTTTACATAAACGAACCTTAAAGCACCCATTCCTTCCCCCATCATCATGACAACACCCTAACACTCAGGAGGCGCAGGTGGTTGACTGCTGAGGGCAGTCTCTGCAGAGTTAGCTCCTCCAAACAAGGAATGGTAGGAAGTTATACCGAAATCCGTTTTGTAAGTTTATCCCTTGTCTGAGTCTGGTAATGAGGTAAACTGTGTCTAGACTTAGTATCATTAGCTCCAGGAGAGTGAGGCCTGTGACCTGAACTTTACGCAGAGAACTGAGATGGCCACTGAAGCCGTGGTTGCTGCTTTTAAAGCTGACAAACCTACTGGTCGTCAACAGCACCAGAGTTCTTGAGGAGGATGGAATTTTACCTGGATTAATGACTGAAAGTAACAGACACTTACTTGCTCGGATACCTAGACAGCCACCCCAGGGTCCTCCACAGTCACTGAGGGCAGAGGTCCAGGGCCACATCTGTCTACTGGCTGCAGGGGTAGGCCTGAAAGGCCCCCAGAAGATCCCACAGGCTTCTGTGGAGTAAGGACTTGTGAGAAAACCAGCCTCCCTTCCTCTTAGGCAACTTGAGGCTGTCCATTCCCCAGGGTCCTGCTGCCCATGGTCTGAAGAGGGTATTTGTAGAAGTTGAGGTAAAAGGCAGTCTTGCTTAGTGGCTGGCGCTGCCACTTATGAAGCCAGTTCCAGGTGGAGGTTCTTCCGAGCCCATCCATCTTCTTTGGAGGAAATGGGGGGGGGGGCGTCTGGAGCTGGCATGTCTCTCTATTATGAAAATCTTTTTAATAAAGCATGTAATGCTATATTCTGCAGATCTCTGAGCATTTGAGGACTGTCTCTATTGGGTATATCTGAGTAGTTACCTGTAGAGAGCTGCGAAGTGCTGCACCCTTAAGATGGTGCTGGCTTCTGCCTTTTGCTAGCCCGACAGCAAGTGCTCTCTGTGATAAACAACTCCTTATTTGGTCAAGGCTGGATATCAGGCTTGCTTCCTCGTATGTGGACCTATCTGCTGTCGCCACATGGCTTACTGGGGTTGGCCGCTCAAGGGCCTTTTTAAGCTGTGGGCGGGCACTCCCTAGGGTCAGAAGATTTGTTCAAGGTCCTGAATAAACTCCTTGTGAGAAGGATTCCGGAGTCGAGTCTTCCTTGCTGGTCGAGGTGGTCGTGACAGTTACCTATAGGGAAGTAGGCAGGGTTTATCCCAGTAGTTAATTACATCAGTAATAAGCATGACTACAGGGACACTAGTACCGGATTTGCATGGAGAGCTGGATCCACGCTGAGAGGTTGTGGAGGGATGCTTTACCCAGAGTCCTCCAGCTTGATTGTAACTGGTTTCAGCCTATCAGGTGAGATTTATGCCTTTGAAGGACAAAGAAGTAAAGAAAAATCCCCTTTTGTAATAAAGCTTAACACTAAAAGCAGACCATAGTGAAGGTCACACAGTACAGGATGGAATAATCTTTTCAGTTCAGTTCACGCCTGACATAATTTAATTTTGCTTTGTTAGGTCACTTGTAAACAGCTTACAGGAAAGATCTCTAAGTTAGCTTTTGCTAATCTGAAATAGATCTTTATGGCCTTAAATTTTTAATCACCATATAGAATATATATGAAAGCAGAGATGAATGATATATAAAGTATGTTTTAACAATCTAACCATATATTTTTATCATCATCTAAAAGTACACACCATTTAAAGCAATTTTAAATGGTAGCGGCATATGCACATATACGCAGTTGATTTTAAATTGCATACACAAAGAGTTATAGCTAGTTTGCATTCACACATATAGAGTTAAATGCAAATTACATGTATGTACACACACACACACACACACACACACACACACACACAAGCTCAATGTTTTCTTTCCTTGTCTGTCTGCCTCTTGTTTCTGGCATGTGATCTAGTCACAATGAGACTTTCTCTCTCCGGATGGCTCTGAGTTGAATAAAAATCCATTAGGTCAGACAAATGTTTAGGCTTAAGTTTGCCCTTACTAAATATGGCGGTTGTTCACTTGGTCATCCTTAGTAAAGAGGGCAATGAGGTCGTCTGACTTCTCTGTCTTTGCCCTTAGCCATGATGGTGCCTTCCCATAAACCATGTCCAACCAGCAAAACACACACACAGGACGCTGGCATTCAGAATCACATGCATGTGGCCTCACCTTTCACATACATTTTTTATTTTCATACCTATGAAACAGACAGGAAGCAAAACTTTCGGAGCATCCGGAACCAGAAGCTGCTCTTCTTTCGGCCGGCAAGCTGCTAGTAGGTGGCAGGCAGAGTGTCTCAGCTGGCATCCGCACAGAGGGGGAACGGAGGAGTAGTAGCACAGCCAATCAGTAAAGAGAAACACCCCCTACCCCAACCCTGGAGGCTGTGGCAGGAAGGGAGGGAACAGAGACAGAAGCCACAAGACAGTGTAAGCCACTGCCACGGTGGGAGCCAGTGGGAGGCCGCTGGGCCATCGGAGAGAGAAGGTCTCATTGTGGCTGGATCACGTGCCAGAAGCAAGACGCAGACAGACAAGGAAAGAAAGCATGGAGAGAAATCAGAGACAGCTTGGGGCTATAGGGCACACATTTCCAACTGTTGGATCACCAGCGGAATGTTGTAAATGTCCCATAAAATACCAGGATGTGATAAGTGGCCGTGTTATCTTGGTGGGGGAAGGCACATTTTCCATAAGTGAGGTAGAGATACGGTCCAGAGGTGGCGACTCCAGCATCCCAGAAATGCAGCGTGGCACAGGGCCAGGGGCTGTTTTGTAGAAACAGGAGCCGGAGGGGGCTCTGAGCCTGAAAGACACATGGTTGCCCTGTACTGGGGCTTTTGAATGAAGCCAAAGGTTGAAAAACCACAGCAGCACAATGAATCCTTACTCACAGAAGCCTGGCTGGAGAAAGGAAGCCCACCAAATATGCAAGTGTTGGATGCAGCATTCCTGCAATCCTTAGTTGGGTAAGTGACGGGGTTTCAGGGTTCCAGGACCCCAGGCCATCTCAGATGCCTGTGGGCAGGAGGAGTGGCCAGGAAAGCCTGCCAAGGCTCTCACAGCACCGCTGATATATATGGCATGAGGGGGACCTTGGTGGGTTCCATGGCAGGTGAGGGACAGAAATGCCGTGCAGACCAAGCTTGTGTGGGAAATTTTATTGGAGGAAGGGAAGTGAGGGAGGGAAGGAGAGAGGAGAGGAGAGGAGGGGAGGGGAGAAGAGGAGAGGGGAGGGGAGGGGAGAGAGAGAGAGAAAGAGAGAGAATGTGGGAGGCAGAGGGAGAGAGGGAGGGAGGGAGAGAAAGAGAGAGAGAGGAGAAGGAAGAAAGGAAGGAAGGAAGGAAGGAAGGAAGGAAGGAAGGAAGGAAGGAAGGAAGGAAGGAAGGGAAGAGAGAGAGAGAGAAGAGACAGGAAAAGAGCTGCCTGCCTCTTCAGAGAAACAGCAGGAAGAGAGAGGGAGTGGGCGGAGCTCGTGTCTTAAAGCAACCTTTTGTGTCTGCACACAGAGCCAGGATACTGCTTGCCATGTGCCCCAAGAAGGGGTGTGACCAAAGCATGCCTGGATGCTAACAGCCACCAACAACAGCAACCAAACAACAATAAATAAAGCAGTGAAAAAAAAAACCTCCAATAAAGTAAGATTTATACCATCTGTGGTTGGTGTCTGATAGCGGAATGTCACGTGACAGGTTAAGTGTTGTTTTGCTTCAGCTTTTGTTGTTTCCATTTATTTATTATTTATTTATTTATTTATTTATTTATTTATTTATTTGTTCACCTATTTATTTGTTGGCCAGCTTGGCAGAAGCTAGAGTCATCTGAGAAGAGGGGACCACAACTGAGGAAGTGCCCCCATCAAACTGGCCTTCAGGGGAGGCCTTCTGGGTGTTTCCTTGGCTGA